TAAGAATAGATCAACACGTCTTGGATCTAGAGGGTTGTAGGGTCGTGCGATGGATTTTGTTCCTCTGCTAGTGTAAATCGTGGCTATATTAAGAAGAGCTGGAACCATTCCATGAACATTACAAACGGCAGCGGTTGGAATCCAGATATGACCTCATACTAGAGGCGGAAGAAGAGGGGAAGCACCAGTCGTTGTGAGACAGAAAGGCAGTAGCCATAATCGCATTCGGCAATCGAAATTGGAACCTACTTGGTGAGTTTGTATTTTCTTCCCATGAAGAGGGCTTCGTTTTGCCCAATGTTGCAGCAAACTGTCGTCCCGAGTCGTGGCAACGGATGCCTTTATCAGGGTACATGTGGCACATGTAAGTGTGCTGAGGGTGAGCGGATGAATCCTCCAGCTTGCCTCAGTCATTCGAAGTACTACACTTATATCCGGCCAGTACGGACATGCTTTTTTTAAAGTTTTTATATTTTATTCAATCCATCTAAATGCTCGTGTAAGCACTACATCGATCAAGGAACCCAAAGAACCGTACCATACCGCGCCATACACCATCAACGCATCACGCTGCGTAAATGCTAGTAGATTGGTGAGTCACACCAAAAAAACAGAAAGCGCTAAAAGTCAACACTGTGTGGGAGTTTGGCCTCATTCCAAAGCCTCGCCGTATATCTACATGTCACCGAGTTACTCCGTCAGCCCTCAAGCCGGCTCCGTCTTGAAAACGACCTGCTCGCAGAACCCACGGGAGCCCGAACCATACCTCGTCCCGCCTCTCCTGCCCAGTCGCCGCGGGGGACTGAAATTCCGCAACAAAGACGCCAGGTATCCCCCGTCCTTCTTGGCCTCTTTGGTGTCGATTCTATGTCTGGGCTGCAGCGTGTACTGGCGGAAGGCGGTGAAGTCATTCCAGACCTTGACCTGGCACTGCGTCCGGCGCGCGTCAATCAGGTCGACAATGTTGACGAGGGTGTTCTTGAGGCGCTTCTTACACTCGGCCTGGGAGTCGCTCACGGGCAGGCCGACCTCGTGACAGAGCGCCTGGTATCCCTCGAGTTTGGCGTCCTCGGCGAGCTCGGACGCCTGCGCGGCCTCGTGTTTGCAAAAGTAGTGCGTTATCAGCTCCTGTCTCAGGGCGATGGTGCGCTCCCGCGTGTATTGCTGGGAGCCGGGCTTCCAGTCCTGGGAGGAGGCGAGGCGGGCGAATTCATGCTCAAACGGCGCGTCGGCGTTGGGCGTGAAGTCTTGGAATTTGGCAAAGTGTGATTGGGACGCTGGCGGGGGGGACTCTTGTTTGATTGGCATTTCAGGGGCTGGATTTGCCTGCAAGAGATGAAGATGAGGATGGTGGAAAGAGGTCGTGTTTGTCGCGCGTTCTTTGTACTCATTTAGCGACGCGAGTCACAATGGAACGCGAGATTGAGCATCTCGAGCCCTCCTTGGTCGTAATTACATTTCATGGCTTAGTCATGGACAACCCATGTTCATGTTCCCTGGCCGGAGAGCGGTTCAATGTTTCTTGTACAACCTGACATGGGCCAGAGCTTTCCCCCGTGCCACACATGACTGTGCCTGTGTATGGAGAGGCATCTATGATGGTAGGTTTGTATTACAAGTCCTCGAGGCAAAAGTCAACATATCCGATACAACCTGCGGACTACGTTTTGGGCATGGCCTCTTGAAGGTAACAAGTTAACAACATTGCAGGGCTGTGCCGGAAGGTTGTACACGAAGCACGGGCCCTAACCCTAACCCTCCCCGAACCAGTAGCTATCAATTGATCCCTTTGGGTGTTCGAAGGTGCCGATTGCGTACCGGGCCCGCTTTGTCTGAGATACCTAGTAGATACCTGGTTTGTGCGTATAAATATATATGTATCTTTTTGTATATATAAAGATAAATAGTACTTATATCTTTATATGATCTCCTAGTATATAAAAGTATCTCTTATATTAAGATTTTTAATTGGTTGACATCCTTGTTCGGTACAAAATCGGCACCTTCGAACACCCAAAGGGATTGACATGTCGATATGCTTAATAGTATGAAAAATATTACGACAATGTACACAGCGCTAAAAGAAGTTTAATTGGCAACATTATATTGATCATGTTGATGACTAAATTGACGACTGAACAACCACGTAAATTTGGGCCCCCTTATGCCTACATATGTGTTGAACGTCACAGCGGAAC